TCTTTATCAGTTGTATTTATTGCCTCTTTCAGATACTGTGAATATACTGTAAATTTTGTGCAGATTTTGGTGTATAGAATTTGCAGCAGAAGGAAACTAGAAATTTTCCGATAACTTTCATTGAGCCACTTGACTCATGGAAAGATCTCAATCTAAATGTTGAAACTTCTGTTGTCTTTTTTTTTAGTTTTAGGGGGCTTTTTTGGTAGGGGGAGAGGACTTTTTTGTCCATTTTCTTCCCTTCCTCACTTCTGTGGACTAAATACATATTTTCAAAATAATACAAATAAATGACATCATCTAAAACAAAGAATACCTAAGTGGGTGTCATGAATATGTAGTTTCCTGATTTTTGAGTACTCCATCCTTCCAATGATGGATATTTATTATGCTTTATGACAGGCAGTTACAGAGTTCATTTCACATGTATCAGAAACAATCCTGGGAAATAAATTTTTGATCAGCTTAGGTCAGTGTTCAAAGTGTGAATAAAATGAAGGTATTCAAAGAGATTTTCAGTAATCTAACTCATACCAAAATTTCATTTGCAATAGATTGGATAGATTGGTGTATTTAACTTAATTAGCCTTTTTTTTTTTTTGAGACACTGTCTCATTGTGTCATCCTGGCTAGAGTGCAGTTGCATCATCATAGCTCACAACAACCTCAAATTCCTGGACTCAAACAATTCTCCTGCTTCAGCCTTCTGAGTAGCAGGGAATATGGGTGTGCACCACCAACCCTAGGTATTTTTTCTATTTCTTATAGAAATGAGATCTCATTCTTGCTCAGGCTGGTCTCAAACTCCTGAGCTTAAATGATTCTCCTGCCCCAGTGTCCCAGAGTGCTAGGATTACAGGTGTGAGCCCCTGAGCCAGACCTAACTGGCTTTTAAGATTAGTTTTTAAACAACTAAATTAAATGCTATAACTTTTTACTTGTTATTCTTATATATTAGCTATATTTTTAAAACTTGGTCTTTATCTATGGTTTTAAAGATAGCACATTACATGTATAGCACATGTGAAGGCACATTACACCTTTTTTATTCTCAAACTTAGAATGAAATGCATTTGCATATACATGTATGTATGTATCCATATGTACATGGGTGTATGTAGGTATACATGTGTCATTTATCATAATATTAATTATAATGTCATTACAATAATTCTTGTATTGAATGCCTACTGTGCCTTGAGCAGTGTGATTGCCATGCTTTACCTTATGCCATTCTCGTATCAATAATTTGATATGAATGTAATTAGCCCTGTGTTACAGTGGAGGAAGGGGAGGCTTAGAGAGTTTAAGTGACTAGCCTAAGGGCACATGGTTAGTAAGTAGCAGAGCTACGGAGGGTTGGAAGTTTCTTCCTGGTAACCAGTTAACAATGCGACCTTATCACATCTGTTACCTCAAGTTGTGATATAATGAGAAGAATAAGAATTGCAGCACAAGCTCCTAGAGCAAGGAATAGAATTACTTAGAAGGCGCCCACTTACTGGCAATATGCTGTTAAACCCTTTACTGATTTCTGTAGCAGCAGCACAATATTTAATGCCTTGGCTTTCATGGGGCACTGAGGGCTAAAACCAAGGGGCATAAAAAAATGACTTGAGGAGCTGGGATTGAAAATGGTACCATGCTGCTCCCACGGGCTTAAGAATAATTTCCATTAGAATCAGTAAAAAAAAATTATCCTTCCAAAAAATGCGAGGCTCAAAAATGAAGTCCAAGGTGCTCCGTCTAACATCGCTAGACAAAACCTGAATAAAGAGCAACCACAGTGGTGGAGGAGGAGGAAGAACCGCTCAGGCACACCCTCTAATGAGGTGTCAGTGCAGTGCGGAGGGCTGCTGGAAACCTCGGCTGGAGAGTGGCCTTGCTGTGACGTTGCCTTACGGCTGGGAGAGCAGAACTGCTTAGATTCAGAGGCTGCTGAGAAACTGCCAGTGTCAGTAAACAGCAGTCACTCAGGGATGTATCTGCAGGGTAAAGAAGACTTCTACTTCTACAGAGGGGTTTGTTAGGGTGGATGTGTGTGAGAGAGAAAGAATTCTTAGCACACGCTGACTCAGAACACTCATAATAATTTGGCCATTCAGTGAAAAGAATTACTATAATTGATGATATTTGCATGTGAAGTATTTTACTCACACATTTTTAAATTAGGAAGAAAATCCTTAAAATGCTGCATGCCAAAGTGTAACTGGTGTGTCTTTTCTAAAGTGGAACCATGACACTCTCCAGAAATAATGTTTGACACTGTTCCCATGCAGCTCAATTTATGGCTTTCCTCCAGTTCTGTGGAACTGTAAGACCCAACTCCTCCAGATCCATTTATAGGATCGTTTTTCCTGTAGTTACATAGACTCTGAGAAATGTCAGCCCTGGAACCTGGGAAGTATTGACAGGACTAAAGTCTTTCTCCCTCTCCGTCATCATCATTCGATGTCTGAAGTTTGAGAACAGAGGTTGGCACTGGAACGTTTTAAAGAAAAGAGTCAGGATGCAAGGAAAACAGATTTTTCCTGTGAATTATTATTTACCACATGTGCTGTGGAAGTCAGAGCCTGACCTGAGCTTGAATCTGGGTTAGCTTAGGACAGAGTCAGACAACCACTAGAAACAAAGACCAGAGACCTAGACTCTGTGACTTCCCTTCAGGAAGAATACAAGCTTAATTACCAGGACAAAATTGTCACCTGTTAAGTAAAAGGCTTGGTCAAATCTGGACTGAAAGGGACTTAATCCCAGGTTCGTTCCAGTTGGGTCAAGGCTAAAAGTTGATGAAGGTCAAATGAAGTCTGTGTCTTAGTCCACACAACTGCTATAACAAAATACCTGAGGCTGATTAATTTGCAAACAGCCGAAACTTATGGCTGTGGTTTTGAAAGCTAAGAACTAAGCATTTGGGTCTTGTGAGCACATGCCTCACGTGACAAAGGCCTGGAGGGATGAAAAGGGCCAGAAGCTGTGTGTGGAGCCTCTTTTAACTTTGTAAGGGCCTTCATCCCATTCAGAAGAGAGGAACCCTCATGTCCTAATCACCTCTGGAAAGACCCACCTTTTAATACTATTGCATTGGCAACTAAGGTTCAACATACAAATCTTGAGAATCATATTCAGAACATAATAGTCTACAAGTGTGCTTGTCTTCTAGACCTAAATTGAGTTTCTTTCTAGGAACAAAACTAAAAAGCGAACTAAATGCTCACTTTTCTGAACATCTGGGGAGTAAGCAGCTTTTACAGTTTTGCAGATTAAGGCAGAAGGAAGATTTTTAGACTGGGGAGTCTTTATGTGTAAGGTGGCCAAGCTGGTGGCAAAGGGCGCCTGAGAGTTCTATGTAGTTCTTTGATTTCTAGACCAGACTTGGAAAGATTAGGGGAAAAGTTTTAGAGAATGGATACAAATGTTGATAAAAAGTCAAAGACAATGGATAGAAGGGGTTATAGTGAGGAGCTAATAGAGCCTTGGGGGCAATGGGGAAGGATGTTTTCTGTGTATTTCACTGGGTGTCTGGGCCAGTAGGGAAGGGTGCTCACTATCACCCCGTTCAGACCTCTCTGCTCTGTTTACTCCCCTCTTCTCCCATTGCCTCACCTCTTTTCTACCACCTCCAAGTGAGACCAGGTTCAACCCAGAATGTTGGGAGAAGTTGAGAGTGAAGAAAAAAAAAATTGGAATGCAGCCAACTGCAGATTTTATGGTGTTCACCCCTTTAAAACTACAGGGTCCATGTGTGATTGTACATGCACACACATCCATTTTGTTCGTGTTTGTCACATTTTTTAAAAGCTGTAAACACAAGTTAGAAAAGGCAACATGAGATGGCAAAGAGAAATACCAGATGTCACCTCCCCTAGTTAGCCTTCCTTAAAATACACCCTCTCCTTCCACCCTTGCCCCTCCCTCTAACAGAGAGGGAGAAGCCTCTTGCCTGTGTTCCTGCTGAAATCTCTCTCTTCGTGCCTTTTAGACTGTGTTTTATTATTTGCTTATATAGTTCTCTCCTTGCCTGGACTGGGTGCTACCTACATCCAAGATGTCGGCTTCATTGAGTGTGCCTGGGGGTGAGGTGAGGAGATAGAATCATCCGTGTTACACAGTGTAGTGAGGGTATCTCATAGTCTGGGGTAGACGGCATGAAACATGGGACTGTTCCACTAAGATTCCATGATAACATTATGTATGACTCATTCTTTATTATATATTGTGTTTCAGTCTGTAATAATAGACCTTGTTTTAATTGTTTCAGTAGTTAGTAGATTGAGGGATAAAGGTAAATTAATTCCAGGTGCAACTGTGTTATTAAAATATCACAGCCATGGGCCAGAATCTATAGAAAAGTGAATTGGTCGTGATCTTAACATGATTCAGTCTGAGAAATTAAATTGAGTTAACTGAAACAACTGATTCCATTTAACTAATTGACTTCTAAAATATTGAACCATGACATTAGGTCTGTTTCTAATATTCTTTAAGCCAAAATCATCAATATTAACACAATTAGAATTCCCAAGTTCATTACCTCATGTCTATCAAGGTTGTTTCTCAGAATATTCACTGTGACTCAACATGGTTCACATGTTGAGATTGATATGTGATTTTTACAAGAAAAACTCCAGAACCAAAAGCACCTATTTGGTTCAGAAAATACAAATACAGTGAAACCTCAACACACTAAAAAAAATTTGGAAGTTCCTCTACTGTTGCAACAGAATTCAAGCCGAACCTCCAAATCTGACCCAAATCACATTCCATCACCCTCCTTTCCCCCCAGACTTGTAGAACTAAATAATAACTACCCAGATAACTATTAATTGCAATGAGCAAGTTAACTTTTCCCGAATACATTATGCATTTTTTTATGTCAAGTTTTGGAAACAAAAGGTCCTCTGGTTTCAGTTTTCTAAATATACTTTGCTGGAGAATTGTATGTGCTTTCTTTCTAACGTGGGAGTGAGCCGTAACACCTTGTCTGTCCTCCGTTACAGAAGACAACCGATGTACCTCCTCCAATGCCGCATCGTGCACCAAGTGCCTTGCGCTGGGTCCAGAGTGTGGATGGTGTGTTCAAGAGGTGTGCCTTTTTTTTTTGCTTTATTTTTCTGTTCCTCATCCTTAACTTTCTGTCTCGCATGATTTCACTGTCTCACTGTTCTGGGCCTTGAAGGTGCATCAGGAGAAAAGAAAGATACTGGGGAGCCCAAGGAAAATTTTCCTTGGTTCTATGCTTGGAAACAGCCTCTCTGGCTGAGTGTAAAGTAAACTACAGCCTTTTTATTAGGAAAATTATGGTAATTGTGAAATGAAGTGCAAGCCATTTTATGTTTTCCATCTGTTCTATAGAGAATATTGGCAAACACAGATAGTAACATTTGATAGTTCAAGAAGCTCTGGTGTGAAATTCTTGGTCCAGCTTGAAGCATTAGGTAATATGTCCAAGTTGAATCATTATCTTATGTTATCTTGTCCTTGCTCATTAAAGAAAAGCGAGCTAATTTCTTTGTTTTTCTGTGAAATACTTGAAGGTTAGCAGTTGACTCCATCTCATAACATTGTATGTGTACATCAAGTTATTGGTACCTAATGGAAAATGTGACCCTCTCCGTGAGATATTGTGTACATTTAAATTTTGTGGAACGGAGAATAATTCAGACAATGTTTATTTTTCAAATATCTGGGGTTTTTTTCCTACCAAGAGAAATGAATCCTGATAACAAAATTCTTAGTAAAACAATTATAATGCATTTCATCCTTCTCGGCTCTAAAGTTGTTGTGTAGTTTTTAATCTTTTGTCAATAATCTGCAGTTAAAACTACCTGTAAATTGCACTGGAGAAGCCATCTGCTAATTTGGGTTCCTTTCTTATGAGATTGCCCAGGTAATTTTACATTACTACATTACTACTGCCTAGGTAATTTCACATTACTAATACAGTTCCCGGGAATTGAAACAAGTAGATCATTAGTGGGGTTTTCGTGGCAGGAAGATAAATCTTTGATTTAATTCAACTACATCTGCCACCCTCTTTCCACCTCTCTTATTACTGTTTGCCCTAATGCATCCCCCAGGAGGAAAAAGAAAGTTGAAAAGTAAGCAATATTTTCTTCCATGAAGCAGGTAAGGATAGAAGCAGGGGAGGAGTTCGTGAAACAGTAGCTGTGTCTGAAAGTAAGCCTATCTCACCAGCAGCTCGGAGGCTCCCAGAGGTGCTCTGGGCTACACCAGCAAAACACCAGGTGTCATTCCTGAACTGGGAAGTGCTGTGCCAGAACCCGTGGGGCGAGGCTGTGTCCTAGGGGAGACGACTCCACAATTTCTTGGTCCAGTTCCATCACTTCCCATGATCCAAATGACCAGGCCCAGTTCACTCTGTTCTCTGAAGTCTCCTTTTCTTCATCTCTAGAACTTTGAATTTGGAATTTACTTCTAGGTTTTCCTCTGTCAAGAATGTTTGACATATCCTGACCCTAAGCCAGTATGCCATTTTAGATTTTTATTGCATCATTAAGGAAGATCCTTAGAGCCCTAGATTTGGTGCCCACCTGCCATGAGCTGCTCACTCCTTTAGTAAGGGGAGTTTGCAAGAGCCTTTAAGAAACAGTTCAGAAGCCCAGTTGTCAGCCAAGTGTAACATGCCAGCCCTGGAATGTCAGGTGACAGAAGGACCCCTTCCTCCTTCCACGTGTCTGACTGGCCCCAAAATGCCTGAGAGTCACAGCTCTGGGAATTACTGCCAGTGCTGCCACGGGAGGGACTTTGTGAAAGGAATTATTGCCAGTGTGCCACGTGTGGTCAGGTGGAAGGAGGTAAGCTAAGGGGACAGAAGATGGCTTCTGGAGGGGAGGGGGCAAACCTCTGTCCAATGTTGGCCACAGCTTCCAGTTGGGATCTCAGGGAAAACAGGAAACTTGTTTTGTAGTTCATGTCCCCAATAACTCAGTACAGTGCAGTGGAGTCCAGTTTCCATATTGAAAGAACAGGCTCTGAAGAGAGACTGAGTGGGGTTCAAACCCCTGTTCCACTGGTTTCTACATAGACAAACTTCACCGTGTTACCTGCTTACTTTGTACCTCAGTTTCCATATCTCTAAAATGGAAGTATTGATTGTCACTGATGAGAAGAAGATGAAATGAAGCCATGTGGGAAGCACTTGGCACACAGGCATTGCTTAAGACATGTGAGTTGTGACGAAATAGAACTTTGATGTGGCCCTGGAGCAACTGATGCAGGTTTAGGAAACAAGAAGGACTGCTTCCTCAGAGAAGGGGCCGGTGTGAAGACTCAGCCTCCATTCACATCCTCAACAGAAGGAGCTGTCCACGCCGGCAGGCTGACCCGGCGTCACTGAAAGGAAGAATGTAATACTTAATTTTGAAAGATCACGCACCATTCGGGCAGAGATGCAACCGAAATCAATGATTTGTCAACCAGCAAGGCTGAAAGCAGAGAAAAGAAAGGGGCTGTTTTTTCTTTTTTTTTTTCTGCTCATGATTAAAACAGAGAAACAGCAATAAAATAAAGTTAGTTTATATAATCTTCAAAGTTAGTCAAAAGTAAAAGGTTACCAGAAAGTGCTGACAAGATACTCACTTTGCTTGCAAAGTGATCCTCACTCATTCCTAGAGAGCGTGTTAATCGGGCATTTCATACACTCGGCCTTCTCTTTGCCTCCACACTACACGAAAGAAATTGGAAAATAATTAGGATAGAAAGAACCTCATCTATGTTATCTACTTTAATGGCTCCTGGTTCTTCTTAACATCTGTGAAAGACGTGTCAAGTTTTGAAGAATCCTCTTCTTCTCCTGCCTGCAGTGTCTAACCCGGGGGTCCCGGCACCGCCAGCGCTTACAGTGCAGCCTTGGAGCCTGCACTAAAATACGTTATAAAGGACATTCACTGTCAAAGGAAGTGGAAGAAGGTTTTTGTTTCCATTTCTCTGCAGGTTACCATGTTCAGAAATCAAAAAGACTCAAACATGAGTAACAGAAAAAACAAAAACAAAAACTTCTCACATCTATGTCCCCAGAATATTATATCAAAAGGATAAAAGTAACACCTGATGAAAAGCTGGCCAGAGTAACTTCAACCTGGGCTTTTCATTCTCAAATAGATTGTAGGTGCAGAAAGCAGGAGCAGGATTTTGCTCGTGTTTTTCTTGTAGAAGTAAAACATAGGATTAGCAGAAATTAAAATGACACAAAATACCCCCAGATTAGTTGGGTGTGGTTTCAGATTGCTTTTCTTTTGCACAAAGTGGAAAGTCGGCCGCAGTGGGCAGGAGTAGCAGTCCGGTCTTTATTTTGATACCATGATCTTATCTTCCTTTTTCAAACCTAATTGGCAAATTGGCAATGTTTTCCTGACACGGTTTTCACAGTGGGATAAAAACACTTATGGTGATTCAGACATTGCAAAATAATTCAAAATATTTTGTTGATTTCAGCAGAACTGTTTGCCACGTCCTGGTCAAATGGCAAAGCTTGCTGTATAGTGACAGGGAACCCACCACACTCTCCTCTCCACTCTGTACACACAAATAACAGATGCTGTGGCTGAAAAGAAAAATTAGAGCTATTTGTACTTTATTTCCTTTTTGTGATTTTGAGACTTGCGTGTGCCCTTTGCCGGTGGCATATCATGTGAGTCATGACCGAGTAAGCACGTACCAGCCTTCTGTACCCACGGTACTCCCCACACCGGGAGCAGTGGGACTCCCCATGGGGCATGATGCTTTCTGGAGGAGTGTGCTGCGTGCAATAGCAGCCTTTCCACGTTCCCTGAGGACCTCCGACCTGTTTGTAAATTCAATCTTTCACTCAGTCCCTCCACATTATATCAGTAGATTGAAAGTTAAGGCTTTGATTATTTTAAACCTAAGACTGAAATCTGCATATATGGCCAATTGCAAAGCAAATTTAATTTTCCACCTTCGTGAAGTCACCAGGTGACATACTCGCTTTTGTATCTTGAATACATCTACCTACCCTACAGCTGTGCTCCAGAGGCTAATTCTGGTGGCGCTAAAAAGAGCCACATAGTTTTGGTGGGCCACCTACCGCCCTTCAGCTTATTCTTTTATTGTTTTGCACCCCTCTTTAAAATGTAAAAAGCATCCTTTAGTTTTTGCACTTACACTCTGTAAAAACAGACCCCGGGCCACATCTCTTCCACAGTTCCTAGTTTGCCGAGGCTAGCTCTCAATTAAAAGAGGTCTTAAAGTCTTTGTAAGAATGTTTTCCTATTGCCTGTCTCCATCCCATGTAATTACTCCAGTGCCAGGGATGTCACTGTTTATAGTTAGTGACCTCTTTCTTATTCAACACTCACATCCATCTAAACTCGATAATCTCCTTATCTGCATAACCCTGTGATATGCTGTGCTTCCCCTAAGTTTCATCCCCATGATCATTTTATTTACTTACCTAATTGCTGAATTCACTCATGAACTGTTGGCTTTGATGACAGGGACTCTTATCCATCTTGCCCTAGTCTGTATCTTTAGCATCTAACAAGATAGTGACCCTGAGTAAGTATTCACTCAGCAGGCTTTGAGTGAGTGATTAATTGATGGGAAATCCAATTCTCTGAATCATCTGGACTAACTAAAGGAAGAATGATTGAATGCCAAATCAAGATAGCCACTGCCAAGAAGATTGCTGAGCAAAGATTCAGCTCGTGTGTAAGCAAATACCTCAAATAATCTAGGCCAACACTATAGACACTTATAGTAAAACATATTTCCATATTTGTAAACACATTTTCTGCACTTAAGGAGAAAAAATCTCACAACTCTTTTTACATGAAAAGTAAAAATGTTCATTTTTTTCCTCACCCAAAGTAAATTATATGTTAACCTTATCCATTAGTTCCAAGTTTATTAGGTGACTCCTAGAGAACCATCAAGTAACCAATGCTGAATGATAGTGAACGTTGTCGATTTAGTTACAAAATCCGGAGAATTTGAGATGCAGTCTTTTATCTCCCAGCCTCCTCATGAACATCTTTCTGGGTTTATTGCGTTATTTATAGGCTGTTGTATATATTAAGAAGTTGGGGGATTTTAGGGTGTAAGAAATTCAGATTTCTGATTCCTTCTCTTATGAATTTTCAACGCTTAATTAGGCATGTGATTCTAAGTACTTACGCTTATATTCCAAAAATAACCATATGTAATAAATATATAACAGTAAACCAGTTGGGTTATTTGAGAACCAAGGCTCACATTTAGAACCACTGAATGGTCTGTTTTGACTAAATTTTCTTTTGGATTGGTCTTTTGAAAGTAAAATATTTAGGAAGAATTAAATTAGTATAACTTTACAATGATCACCTATCAATATATTAAGTGTTCTGTTGAAATCTCCCCTTTAGTAATTTATTTTCCTCTTTACAAAGAACATTTAGAAATTAAAGTTTAAATGAAGACAGATTTGCCAGTACTCTCATTGGAAACATGCAGCTATTTTGAACAATCGCATAATTTGTTCTTTATTAGAAGATGGCTTCTTCACAGGATTTGCTATGTATTTTGTTGTTGGTGGTGGTTATAATTGAAATGACATGCATTCAAAAACGTCAATGATTTTCCTTCTTTTAAACAGGATTTTATTTCAGGTGGATCAAGAAGTGAACGCTGTGATACAGTTTCCAATTTAATAAGCAAAGGCTGCTCAGTTGATTCAATAGAATACCCGTCTGTGCATGTAATTATACCAACTGAAAATGAAATTAACACCCAGGTGACACCGGGAGAAGTATCGATCCAGCTGCGTCCAGGTTTGGTGATTTTCAAATAAATCTATGGGGATCAGAATTCTAGTTTTGATAGTACCTGCAGCCAGCGTGTATCCTCTGCTACTCTCTGCAGATCTGACTGCACTACATTTTAATTACGTGTTCTGACCATGTTGTGATGTAATTGTGTTTCAATAGTAGTGCCAGCTCTAGGGGAAAGGGAGCATGTTTATTTCAATGTAGAGTGCTGGCATTATTAAGTACCCCATAAATATTTGTTAGATTGATTGATTGATTAAAAGGAGTTGTGAATTAAGCTAAGTCCCTAGAGACGTTATGATGAACTTTTAAGCCCGAAGCTGCAATTTCTGGTTACCATAATTACTTTGGGCAGCTTTGTGATGGCCCTGAGAGCCACATGCACCTCTCCTCCCGTCTTTCTATTGTAATCATCCTTCCATCTCTCTGTATCCCACAGTTTGCCGAATTGTAGGCCACTGCAAAGTATTCATTTTCCTCCAGTGCTAGAGAATCCCAGTGCACAAACTACACATAGGAAGATAAGTCAGGGCCTCAGGTATGCACCACTCGGTTAGATGGATTTAGTTGAAAGCAGTGGTTCTCAACCTTCCTAATGCCGCAGTGTATTTTCATTGTTAAAAAGGGGTCACGACCCACAGGTTGAGAACCTCTGGTCTAAAGTAACCTGCAATTGTCTTTCTTCAAGCCTTCATTATTTCATTGTGTGTGGTCCTGTCCTGTCATTAATTTTTTAAATAACCATTCTTGACATACTCCCTTCCCCGTTCCAAAGCTAAGTTATTTCTTCCAGACTCTTTGATTACCAAAAAAACAAAGTCTATTTCTTTCTTGGCCCTAGGCATAGTCCCAGCTTCCAATTAAAACTGTGCTTTTTACAATCTAAAATAATGATACAGCCCAGTATGGACATATGTAAGCAACAGCTGGAAAAGGATATAAAAAAATGAAAGTAATTAGTTTGGTAAGATCATAGCTCTATTGCAAAAAATTGTTTAGCCTAGTTAATGAATTCTTTTTTTAGAAAAAAGGAAAAGAGGGAAAAACAAAAATTATATTCTCTTTTTCACCTAATTCTAATCAGTATGTCCACCGAACTCTGCCCTTGGGAGTTCCTATAATTACACACGCATGTCTCTTCTACCTATAGATGCTTAATGTTATGGTTGCCCAACCATCTTTAATGATTTCTCTTTCTGTCATTCTAATAGGTTTTTATTTCAGTTTCCTGATCTAGATGAACCTATCTGTCTTCTGAGACGACTTCTAAAGTCCTTTTTCTGTTTGTTTGTTTGTTTTCCTGAGACATAGTCTCACTCTGTCACCCTGGGTAGCATGCCCATGGCATCATTGCAGCTCACAGCAACCTGAAACTCTTGGACCTGAGCAGTCCTCCTGCCTCAGCCTCCTGAGTAGCTGGGACTACATGCACCCACCACTATTCCAGCTAGTTTTTCTACTTTTAGTAGAGACAGGGTCTTGGTCTTGCTCTGGCTGGTCTTGAACTCCTGAGTTCAAGCAATCCACCTACCTCGCCCTCCCAGAGTGCTAGGATTACAGGTGTGAGCCATCATGCCCAGCCTCCAATTTCTTAAACATTTCCATATCCTCAACAGTGTTGTCACCTGCAGACTTTTCCCTTGTTCATCTGTGGATTCTTGAGGCTCTCAGTACAGCCATTGCCTCTTTCACATTGTATTGCATCGAGCAGTAGCACCTCTGTAACTCAGTTATACTTAAGCTCTTTGACTCAAATGAGTTTGGAGATACTCCCCAACTCACACTTAAATTTGAGGACAAGTTGTTCATATCATCTTGGCTACAAATCTTTCTATCCATATTGTAGGTTCTTGCTCCTCTACTCTTCATTTTATTTCGATAGGATTTTCAGAATTGGTGAATTGAAAAAACTACCCCTAATGTTTACAAATGAAGTAAACAGTAAGGCTGGCTGTGTCTTTACATGGCAGAGAAAGGAAGCTCTCCAGAATCTTTTCTTAGAAGGGTGCTAATTCTATCATGAGCGTCCCATGACTTCATCTAAACCTCATTGTCTCCTAAAGGCCCCATTTCTAAATACTGTTTCATTGGTGGTTAGGGCTCCAATACATTAATTTTCAGAGGGACACAATTAAATTCAGTTTCTAGCTTTGGATATATAAAAATATATTTCAAAAGCCCATGGAATATTTTTAGAAATTGATCATGTTTTAGGCAAAACTCAATTACAAGAGTAAAAACATTTTTTTAGTGCTAACATCTATGGGTATAGTTCAATGAAATTTTAAATCGATTCAAAAAGAAAAACAAATAACAACAAAATTCAGAAAAAGCCTGTCCTAAATGATTCTATCTCCAAGAATAAATTGAAACTCTAGTAATAAAGTAATATTAATAATAAAAGCACACATCAGAATGTGTTGGATGTAAGTGAAGTTGTTCTTGGGAAAATTTCAAGCTTTACATATTTTTATTATTAAAGAAGAATAAATAAAGATGCCCTATGCATCCAAACAAAGGTATGGGAACAACCAAAATAAAATTACTATAAGAAAACAAGAAGGAGTTTGTAAATTAAAAAAATTAATAAAATGTAAAATAGAAATAAAAGAACAAAATGAACATATTAATTTGAGAAATGGTTCTTAGTAAAATCCAGTGAAATAGGCACCAGCCACGTACACCTGAGCTGGCAGATTCGAATCCAGCCCGGGCCCACCAAATAACAATGATGGCTGCAACCAAAAAAAATAGCCAGGCATTGTGGCAGGTGCCTGCAGTCCCAACTACGCGGAAGGCAGAGGCAGGAGAATCGCTTGAGCCCAGGAGTTGGGGGTTGCTGTGAGCTGTGATGCCATAGCACTTTACCCAGGGTGACAGCTTGAGGCTCTGTCTCAAAAAAAAAAAATAGAACTAAAGGCAAATAGACAAATAACCTAAGTTATAAAATTATAATCACAGAAAAAATATAGAAAAAGAAGACAGTAAGAAAATATTGATCATAAAAATCTACGGTAAAGTGTTTAAATCTTTTTTTGTTATAGTTGTTTCAGGTTAATTTGAGGGTACAAAGAATTAGGTTACAATGTTTGCAAATTTCAGGTAGAGTCCCTCTTATAAGTGTGTCCTGCCCCCAAGAAATGTACCTACCATACACCATAACATTGTGCCCATTAAGGGGGAGCACACCCTTCCCCCTCTCTCTTCTCTTTTCCCTCCTCCCTGGTTTCCCTGCCCTCACCTTGAACTGATTCTAGTTTTTCTCATATGTGAGCATGTATTAGGTCATCTGCTCCCTTCGTATTAGTATTAAGTACATTAGATTCTTGCTTCTCCATTCTTGTAACAGCTTACTGAGAAGAATGTGTTCCACCTCCATCCAGGTTAATACAAAAGATGTAAAGTCTCCATCTTTTTTAGTGGCTGAATAGTATTCTATGGTATACTATTTTGTTATACCACAGTTTGTTAATCCATTCCTGGATTAGTGGGTATTTCCACATTTTGGCAATTATAAATTGAGTTGCAATAAACAATCTCATGCAAATGTCCTTAAGATAAAATGAATTTTTTTCTTTTAAAATGTATAGTCTACTCAAAGCAATCTACAAATTTAATGCAATCCCCATTAAAATACCAACAATATACTTTGAAGAACTGGAAAAAACAGTACTTAGTTTTGTGTGGAACCAGAAAAAAAACCATATAGCCAAGGCTATTCTTAGTAATAAAAACAAAGCTGAAGGCATCACTCTACCAGACTTCAGGCTATATTGCAAGTCCACAGTAAGCAAAACAGCATTGTATTGGCCCAAAAAAATAGAGACATAGACATATGGAACAGAATACAAAACCGAGAGATGAAACCAGTCTCTAGTTTCCATCTAATCTTTGATAAACCAAATAAAAGCATACACTGCAGAAAGATATCCCTATTCAACAAATGGTGCTGGAAGAACGAGATAACCACATGAAAAACACTAAATCTTGATAATATAGATAATTTTCTACAAAAATATATATGTCTAAAATTGACTAAAGAAGAAGTACATTAGGAAATCTAAAATATTTAAAATCTAAAATTTACATCTAAAAAAATTATGAATTTTTTTGTAATTATAACCCCTTAAACAAATAAGAAATACTCCCCTAAAAGCATTACGGCTAAATGCTTTCATGAGAAGAAATGTTCCGTGTTCATTCAAATACTGAAGGAATATATTACTCCTATGCTACATGAATTCCTACATAGCTTTAGAGAATGTCTAACCTTATGACAAGGTTATTATAACACTACTATCAAATCCTTTTAGCTAATCTAATTAAAATATAAGTTACACTTTTTACTGGCATGTTATCTATACTTTATACGCTTCAATGAATTTATGATGCATGTTTTTGTCGATATGATGATGTTTCAGTGCTCTGAAACTATAGATTAACAGTTCAAAAGTTGGCACCCTATTTCAGTGCCCTAGACAAGTAATGGTAGCGGTAAGGAGGCAGGAGAAAACTGGATGGGCCTGAGAGAATGGGGGATAGAATCTCTGGGGGATGGTGATTGATGCACCACTGATGGACTCTGGGGTCTGGCTTAAGAAACTTGGTGAGAAAGGGAACCTGCTTCCTGCGCAAGAAGTGGTGTTGTGTTCAATCCGGGACATCTTAAATTGAGGTAGAGACGCATCTAGGTGAGGATGAAACTTGAGGAAGGTTTAGGACTTGGAGCTACAAGAGAAGCAGAAGACATCAATTGGAGATGGATGGTCAGGGAAGGCAGTAGGGATGAGAACACGGGGAGTATGAGAGGGAAGAGAGAAATGCTTACTTCCCTGTCCGTCACAATGGGACTTGATGTCATTCAATTTCCCACTACTAAATTGCTATGTGAAAGTTAGCATGATTGTCTCTTGTGTGTAAGTCATCTTTGTGAGCTACTTTGTGGCAGAACTATGTTTTATATCCCTGCTCTATAGCAAATATTTATGAAATTAAATTGATGT